CACACACACACACACACACACACACACACACACACACACACACACACACACACAAACACACACAGACAACAGAGACACAGATGGGGGAGGGTATCGAGGAGGGAGGAGGGGGTGAAGGAGGAGGACGATGACAGCTATGGATGAGGAGGAAAGTAGGTCCAGGAGGACAAGGAGAGTAATGGAGGAGTAGGGGGAGGGAGGAGAGAGATGCTCCTGGCACACCTAAGCTAAGAAAGAAAATTAAAAATTTGCAGTACATTCGCGTTCGTCAAAGAACGCACACGTTCTCCGGGCGAATGCCAACGCGGTGCGATCTTTAGGGTTTAGGGTTTACAGAACCCCCCAAAACTCCAATAGGAAGACACATGTCTGCGCAGTCTCCTAAGCCTTTCAAATTGAAGTTTGAACACTGAAATTGAAAAATGTCATAACAAGTATTAACAACTACAACAACGCATACCAAGCCCCATAACAAACCCCCCTATAGGCTATAACCTAGGAAAGACGACACTTCTTTCCGTTTCCACTTTTTTCTTACGTGGTCCCACGGACCATTGATCGGATATGGAACTGATCAGAAACGGATCGGATATGAAACTGATCAGAAGATTCAGAACCAATAAGGTAATTGTACTTACACTCTTATCTATTTTTAGCAAACAGGAAACACTCTTATCTATTTTTAGCAAACAGGCCAAGAAAGGTACAAGACTACAACTACATTCACTCACTCACTCGCAACAACTTACCTCTTCAGGCAAGTGTCACTGTAGAAGTTCTGATAATCAACAGAATTGTTGCCGATGGACCGCTCCGAGTACGCAGCCACTGTAACGAGCGCCTTCGGATCGGTTGTGTGAATAGCATCTGCCTGCCAGTTAATGAACCGAAGAATTCTCTTCATCTTGAAAGAGTTTTGAACATACCCGTCCACCGGGATATCATTACCATCATCGTCGTCATCGCTCAACTCCCCTCCACGTACTAAGCGGCTTGTGTATAAACACTGCTGGTCGCTCGGGTCGTCTGTGATTTTGAGCAATTGCTCAGGATTGTTGATGATCTCCCATGCGGCTATACCGGGTTCATCTTTCAGAGACATGACCACCGGTTTGAGTACGTTCTCGATGTAAGACTCCAGCTTCGTCACATTCTGCACACTTGCATCACACATGGCGTCAGCAGATGATGGATGACACATCATTCAGCCCAGTTGGCCACATACTACACATACACCTTTTTTTCTTGTTCGATTTTTTGTTTTCATCACTGAGACCAGCTGACCACATACACAATGTCATACACCTTTCGCCGTGTGATTATAGCTGTATTTGGGGCAGCTTTCAGTCCAAATACAGCGATGATGACCGTACGGTCTACGTGGGGGAAGACGGTGGTTCGGGTATATTCACCCGGCAGTCATGCTGCTGCTCTGCCCTGAGGGAGAGTGAGGCGGAGCACTACCGGTGGGTGGAAGGAGCACTACCGATAGGTGGAAGGAGCACTACAGGTAGGTGGAAGGAGGAGGAGGAGTTAAGGGTGAGAAAGAAGACCTCCATGGCAATGAAGGAGATGAGTACATTGGGTAGTCGGAAGAGAGACAAGGACTAGGCGCAAACTGGCCTGTTAAGGGTAGGTGGGAGGGAAGAGCACAAGTAGAGGAGGAGGAGGAAGAAAGAAGCAAGGAACACAACAGAAAGACTTTCCATTGGCTATGGTGGACCTTCATCTCCCTTCCTTGGTGAGCACTGCATTTAGAAGGCTGTCTGCTGGGGTTCCGTTTGGACATAAACATCATCTGGGAGTGTGACTGTGGTGGCAGGAGATGGGATAGGCGAGGTGGCAGTGCGTTGTCCTCTGCACATCCATGCTAGCGAATGATGAAGCAACATAGCCAGTTGCTCTACCACAAGGGGGCGGGGAGAGAGAGAGAGAGAGAGAGAGAGAGAGAGAGAGAGAGAGAGAGAGAGAGAGAGAGAGAGAGAGAGAGAGAGAGAGAGAGAGAGA